CTATGGCTAATTTTTTGTGGAGACAGGATTTCACCACATTCAAGCCTGCGTTGGCCTCCCAAAGTGCTAAGATTACGGGTGTGAACCACTGTGCCTGGCCTAATTTCTTATTTCTTTTTTGTAGAGGTGGGGGCCTCCCTGTGTTGCCCAAGCTGATCTTGAACTCCTGGGCTCAAGCAATCCTCCACCCTCAGCCTCCCAAAGTGCTGGGATTACAGGTGTGAGCCACTGCACTAGGCCAAGAGTTCTTTATATATTCTGAATAGTAGTTCCTTATGAGATATATGATTTGCAAATACAGCCCTTCATATCCAAAGGTTCCTTATCCATGAATTCAATAAAACATGGAGTGAAAATTCTGGAACCAATAAAATAAAAATAACACAACAATAAAAAGAATACAAATAAAAATGTATAACAACTATAAAGCATTTATATTTCATTAGATATTATAAGTAATCAAGAGATAATTAAAAATATATGGAGGGCAGGGCACGGTGGCTCATACCTGTAATCCCAGCACTTTGGGAGGCTGAGGTGGGCTGTTCACTTGAGGTCAGGAGTTCAAGACCAGCCTGGCCAACATGGTGAAAGCTGTCTCTTCCAAAAATACAAAAATTAGCCGGGTACGGTGGCATGTACCTGTAATTCCAGCTACTCAGGAGGCTGAGGCAGGAGAATAGCTTGAACCCGGGAGGTGGAGCTTGCAGTGAGCTGAGACACTGCACTCCTGCCTGGGTGACAGAGTGAGACTGTCTCAATAAATAAATAAATAAAAAGTATATGGAGGATGCACATAGGCTATATGCAAATATTACGTCATTTTTTAAATGACTTGAGCATCCGAGCATTTGCCCCATTCTGCGGGCATGACAGGTTTTTGTGTGAACCTAGTTTAAATTTTTTTTTGAATTATACCTTATTTTTTAAAAGCAGTCTCAGGTTCACAGCAAAATTGAGCCAAACATGCAGAAAGTCCTGGTACACCTGCTGCTTCCACGCTTGCCTGGCTTCCCCTGCGATCACCTGCAAGTGCATGACAGTAGCAAGTTTGTTACAATTGATGAACTGACACTGATTCATCATTATCACCCAGAGTGGATAGTTTACATTAGGGGTCACTCTCAGTTGAACATGGGTTTTTATTTCCCTTGGGTACACACCCAGGAGTCTTTTTTATGTTTTTTTTGAGACAGGATCTTACTCTGTCACCCAGGCTGGAGTGCAGTACAGTGGAGCGATCACAGCTCCCTGCTTCCTCGACCTCCCTAGCTCAAGCAATCCTTCCAAGTAGCTGGATGTCACCATGCCTGGCTAATTTTTATATTTTTGTAGAGATGGGGCTTCACCATGCTGCCTAGGCTGGTCTCCAACTCCTGGGATAAAGTGTTCCTCTTGCGTTGGCCTCCCAAAGTGCCGGGAGTATACGCATGAGACACCACACTGGGCCCTGAGGCTTGTGGTAAGGTTAATTCTATTAAAAAAACAAAACAAAGCAAAACAAAAAACCCAGCCATCCTATTTTCCAAAGTGTCTGTACTATTTTGCATCCCCACCAGCAATGTATGAGCATTCCGGTTGCTCCACGCCCTCACCAACACTTGATATCATTTATTTTTATTTATTTATTTATTTGAGATGGAGTTTCACTCTTGTTGTACAGGCTGGAGTGCAATGGCGCAATCTTGGCCCACCACAACCTCTGCCTCCTGGGCTTAAGTGATTCTCCTGCCTCAGCCTTCTGAGTAGCTGGGATTACAGGCATGCACCACCATGCACAGCTAATTTTGGATTTTTAGTAGAGACGGGGTTTCTCCATGTTGGTCAGCTGGTCTTGAACTCTCAGCCACAGTCAATCCACCCTCCTCGGCCTCCCAAAGTGCTGGGATTGAGGCGTGAGCCACCACGCCCAGCCAATATCATTTATTTTTAAAAAGTCATTCTTGGATGGCTGGGCGTGGTGGTTCATGCCTGTAATCCTAGCACTTTGGGAGGCTGAGGTGTGTGGATCACTTGAGGTCAAGGGCTCAAGACCAGCCTGGGCAACATAGAAAGACAAAAAATACAAAAAATTAGCCAGATGTGGTGGCATGTGCCTCTAGTCCCAGCTACCTGGGAGGCTGAGGAAGGAGGGTCACTGCAGTGAGCTATGATTGTACCACTGCACTTCAACCTGGATGACAGAGTGAGACCCTGTCTCAAAAAAAAAAGGTCATTTTTGGGGCATCTTTCAAGCCTGATCAGAGTCCCCTTTTACAAGATGACTGCACAGATTTGGTAGAGGATGCTTGATGAGGCTGAGGCAGGGAAGCCTGCTGGGAGGTACTGCATAATTCAGGCCGGGGAGAGAAAACACAAGTGAGACCCACAATGTGAAGGGCATGGAGGGCCAGGCTAAGAACTTTAGACCCCCAGATTCTCCACCCAAGAGGATTCTGGGCCTTAATAAAGTTGGTAGCTCTACCCTTTGGCCTGGCTTAGTGGCTCATGCCTGGAATCCCAGCACTTTGAGAGGCTGAGGCGGGTGGATCATCTGAGGTCAGGAGTTCCAGACCAGCCTGGTCAACACAGCAAAACCCTATCTCTACAAAATACAAAAATTAGCCAGGTGTGACGGTGGGTACCTATAATCCCAGCTACTCGGGAGGCTAAGGTAAGGAGAACTGCTTGAACCCGGGAGGCAGAGGCTGCAGTGAGCTGAGATCGTGCCACTGCACTCCAGCCTGGGTGACAGAGTGAGACTCAGTCTCAAAAAAAAACTACCCTTAGCAGATGCATGGTGTACATTATAATTTTATAATTCTTTTTCTTCCCTTTTTTTTATTTTTTGAGATGGAGTCTCACCATACAGGTGCCTATCATCACACCTGGCTAATTTTTGTATTTTGTAGAGACATGGTTTTGCTGTGTTGACCAAGCTGGTCTCTTAACTCCTGACCTCAGATGATCCACCCACCTCAGCCTCCCAAAGTGCTGGGATTCCAGGCGTGAGCCACTGCGCCTGGTTAATATGTATTTTTAGAGATAAGGTCTCACTATGTTGCCCAGGCTAGAGTGCAGTGGCTATTCACAGGCACCGTTCCACTACTGATCAACACAGGAGTTTTCACCTGCTCCGTGTCCGACCTGAGCCAGTTCGCCCATCCTAGGTAACCTGGTGGTCCCCTGCTCTCAGGAGGCCACCATACTGATGTCAAACTTAGTGTGGATGTCCAAGCAGCATAGTGCACCATAGCCCAGAATTCCTGGGCTCCAGCGATCCTCCTGCTGCAGCCTCCCAAGTAGCTGGAACTACAGGTGTGCACCACTGTGCCTAGCAGAATATTAACGGCCCTGACAATTCCTGCAACAAAGAACTCATCTGGCATTATTTAACCCACTGCTTATCAACTTTAGACCTTGGATCACTTTTTTCAAGTCATAATACTTAGAATAATGATAATAACAATGGTAATATTAATAATAATAGGCTGGGCACGATGGCTAACAATTGCAATCCCAGCACTTTGAGAGGCTGAGGCACAAGGTTTGCTTCAGCCCAGGAGTTCGAGACTAGCCTGGGAAACATGGTGAAACTCCATTTCTACAAAAAAAAATACAAAAAAAAAATCAGCTTGGCATGGTGGTGTACACCTGTGGTCCCAGCTACTCGGGAGGCTGAGGCAGGAGAATCACTTGAACCCAGGAGGCAGAGGTTGCAGGGAGCCAAGATCATGCCACTGCACTCCAGCCTGGGCAACAAGTGAGACTCTGTCTCAAAAATTAAAACATAATAATAATAACAGTAACGGTAATGCGCACCCAGAACCTCATCCAGCTAGTTCACCATCGTGCTTCCAGTGCAGCGATGCAATCACCACTCACTGCAGCCTCAAACTCTTGGGCTCAAGCGATTCTCCCACCTCAGCCTCCCAAGTAGCTGGGACCACAGGCAAGCACCACCACATCCAGCTAATTTTTGTGGTTTTGGTAGAGACAGGGTCTTGCCATGCTGTCCAAGCTGATCTTTTTTTTTTTTTTTTAAGATGAGGTTTCACCATGATGGCCAGGCTGGTCTTGAACTCCTGACCTCAGGTGATCCACCCACCTCAGCCTCCCAAAGTGCTAGGATTACAGGTGTGAGCCACCGCACCCAGCTCCCAAGCTGATCTTGAACTCCTGGACTCAAGCAAACCTCATGCTTCATCCTCCCAAAGTGCTGAGATTACAGGTATGAGCCACCTCGCCCAGCCAAAACCTTCTTTTTTTTTTTTTTAATTAAATCTCAGATCATAGCCATGTATGGTGGCTCATCCCTGTAGTCCCAGCACTTTGGGAGGCCAAGGTGGGTGGATCAACAGGTCAGAGTTCGAGACCAGCCTGACTAACATGGTGAAACCCCATCTCTAATAAAATACAAAAATTGGGCATGGTGACACGCACCTATAATCCCAGCCACTCAGGAGACTGAGGCAGGAGAATCACTTGAACCCGGGAGGCGGAGGTTGTAGTGAGCCAAGATCACACTACTGCACTCCAGCCTGGGCTACAGGGGGGGACTTCCTTTTCAAAAAAAAAAAAAAAAAAAAAAATCTCAGATCCTGAGAATGACCCTATGAGGCAGGTATAATGTAACTTTCATCTCATGAATGAGGTTCAGAGAAGTCAGATGACTTGTCCAGGGTCACACAGATAGTGGACGGAGAGCTGGAATTGGAGCTGGGGTGTGCCCATAGTCCCTCCGTACACCCTGCCTGTCCCTTGAGTGAGCCCCATACCCCCAGCCTCACCTGGTGGTGGCAGATGTGGTCTCCCCACTGAGGACTTCTCTGTGACGTCCCATGGCCCTTATCCTCACCCGTGGACACATTCAGGCTGCAGTCCAGAGAGCCTGGCTGTAATTTGAGTCTCACCAAGCAGGGGGTGACGACGTGGGTGGGCAGGTGACAGCCAGGGCGGGGAGATTTGCCCAGACACTGGCACACAACAGCCTGGCAACCCGTGTGGCCCCGAGGAAGCTGGGGGCTTTAGGGGTGCATCCCCGAGTCTGGGGTGTGGTTCACACCATGGGCAGCAAGCAGACAGTCTTCACTCATGAGCAGCTGGAAGCGTATCAGGTAGCGCGGACAGGATGGGTCCTCAGTGGGTTTGACAGCTGTGGTTTCACAGTCTGGGAAATGGGAACAGAATCCCTTCATCCAGGTGTACCATCCGCCAGGGTTCCTGGTTGGGCTCTGTGTGTGGCGGCACCGGGCCTTCTGTGCGTGAGTGTGGGATGAGGGAGGAGGCGGGGGAAGGAGGCCCCGGAGGCGGGGGAAGGAGGCCCCAGAGGCAGGGTTCGGGTTAAGACAACACCTCTCTCCGCAGGACTGCACATTCTTCACGAGGAAGGAGATCATGAGGTCAGTCCAGGGAGGAAGGGAGTGAAGGTCTGGAAAATCAACTTTCTATTCATTGCTGGAGGATATTTGCAATTTGGGGGGTATGCGTGTGTGTGTGTGTGTGTGTGTGTGTGTGTGTGTGTGTGCGCGCGCGTGCGCACGCGCATGCGCGCGTCTTTTCTTTTTTCCCTCCCTTCCTTCCTTCCTCCTTTCTTTCTCCTTTCTTTCTTTTCTTCCTTCCTTCCTTTTCTTTCTCTTTCTTTCTCTCTCTCCCTCTTTCTTTCTTCTCTCTCTCTCATCTCTCTTCTTTGAGGCAGGGTCTCTGTTGCCTAGGCTGGAGTGCAGCACTGCAGTCAGGCTCATGGCAGCCTTGATCTCCCAAGCTCAGTTTATTCCCCCACCTCAAGTAGCTGGGACCACTGGTGCGCCACCATGTGTGGCTCATTTTTTTTTTTTTTTTTTGGCAGAGATGGGAGTCTCACTATGTGAGACCCAGGCTGGTCTTAAACTCCTGGGCTCAATCAATCCTCCTGCCTCAGTCTCCCAAAGTGCTGGGATTACAGATGTGAGCTACCGTGCCCAACTGGTATTTCCAATCTGATGGCACTCAAACGGGGAAGGGGGGCAGGTGTGGTCAGTGGATGGAGGCAGAGACGGAAAAGCTGAGAAGTCCCATCTTGTCTTATTGTCCCAATCTCTAGGCTGATGAGCTTGGGCTTGGGAGCCGTGGAACATGTGTGAGCAGGGGAGAGACCGTCAGCATGTTAGAAAGATTCTCCTGAGGCCGGGCGCGGTGGCTCACGCCTGTAATCCCAGCACTTTGGGAGGCCGAGACGGGTGGATCACCTGAGGTCAGGAGTTCCAGATCAGCCTGGCCAACGTGGTGAAACTCTGTCTCTACTAATAATACAAAAATCAGCCAGGTGTGGTTACAGGTGCCTGTAATCCCAGCTACTTGGGAGGCTGAGGCAGGAGAATCACTTGAACCTGGGAGGCCAAGGTTGCAGGGAGCTGAGATTGTACTACTGCACTGTAGCCTGGCACAGTGGCTCACGCCTGTAATCCCAGCACTTTGGGAGGCTGAGGCAGATGGATCATGAGGTCAGATCGAAACCATCCTGGCCAACATGGTGAAACCCCGTGTCCACTAAAAATACAAAAATTAGCTGAGCGTGGTGGTGTGCACCTGTAGTCCCAGCTAGTAGGGAGGGTGAGGCAGGAGAATTGCTTGAACTGAGACCTGGGAGGCAGAGGCTGCAGTGAGCTGAGGTCGAACCACCACACTCTAGTCTGGAAAGAAGGAAGGAAAGGGGAGGGGAGGAAAGGAAGGAAGGAAGGAAGGAAGGAGAGAAAGAGAAAGAAAGAAAGAAAGAGAGAAAGAGAGAAAGAGAGAGAGATTCTCTGGAGGCTGGGAGCCCAGGTGCAAAGTCCAGGGCCTGCTCTGGGTTGTGGAGTTGGCATAGGTGAGGGTGTGGGGAGGCGGCCCAAGGTGGCTGCAGGTCCCTGGCGTGACCCAGCAGGACGGACACGGATGAGTGTCCCACATCATCGCTGGGCCTGTAGGGCCATTGTCCAGAGGCCTCGACCCATGAACTCAGAGCTATGAAACCCAAGCTGGCCAGGGTTCGGCTGCAGTGTGATCAGGGCCAAGGCCCCATTTATGTAGTCACAGGACATCCATTATTGATGGCCACACCTTTTACTAGTGAGCCCCATTGTCTAGGTGAGGACAGCTTGCAGGGTCACCTTGGCCATCACGATCAAATTACTGTTGGGGAAACTGAGGCTCAGACAGAGCGATGCTGACCCCAGACAGAAGGGTAGATGGGCAGAGCCCCAAGGAGGTTGAAGGCTGACTGACGTTTCATCTGTCCCAAGCTTCTTGCTTGTCAGACAGAATAATCAAGGCAAAGAGGAGGAGAGGAACCTGCTCAAAGCCACACAGAAACCTAAACCCAGGGTGTTCCCTGGGGGACCCCGATAGGGAACTGGGTGGTCAGGATGGAAGTTCCCGGTCTCCCTATTCCACCTCCATTGAGTTCCTAGTCATCGTATGACCCAGGGACTCATGTCTCTCCCAGAGACAGTCCCTAGCAGCTTGGGGACCTCAGACCCACCAAGGATGGTCTCTGCAAGGCTGCCACTCAGCATGCCCTCATTAAGGTATGGCATCACCAGGTGAGGGCATTCGAGTGAAGAACTGGCCTTACAATCTATAGTGTGTGGTATTCAGTTACTTGGAAAATGCCTTTAGTCAGCCCTTTAGAAAAATGTGAATATTAGCTGTTTGCCTCTGCTCTGCCCCATTGAGGACCCTTCCTCCCATTTTTTTTTTCAAGATGGAGTCTTGTTCTTGTTGCCCAGCGTGGAGTGCCATGGCATGACCTTGGCTCACTGCAACCTCTGCCTCCCGGGTTCAAGTGATTCTCCGCCTCAGTCTCCCAAGTAGCTGGGATTACAGGTACCTGCCACCACGCCCAGCTAATTTTTCGTATTTTTAGTAAAGATGGGGTTTCACCATGTTGGCCAGGCTTGTCTTGAACTCCTGACCTCAGGCGATCCTCCTGCCTTGACCTCCCAAAGTGCTGGGATTACAGGCATGAGCCATTGCACCCAGCCCCTTCCTCCCATTATGAGGAGAGAAAGGGAAGATATGAAAATGAGGGTATCAGTGGGCGCAGTGGCTCACACCTGCAATCCCAGCACTTTGGGAGCCCGAGGCGGGCGGATCACCTGAGGTAGGGAATTTGAGACCAGCTTGATCAACATGGAGAAACACTGTCTCTACTAAAAATACAAAAAAAAAAAAAATTAGCTGGGCATGGTGGCACATGCCTGTAATCCCAGCTACTCAGGAAGCTGAGGCAGGAGAATCACTTGAACCCAGGAGGCAGAGGTTGAGGTGAGCCGAGATCAAGCCATTGCACTCTACCCCAGGCAACAAGAGGAAAACTTCATGAAAGAAAGAAAGAAGGGAGGAAGGAAGGAAGAGAGGGAGGGAGGGAGGGAGAAAGGGAGGAAGTAAGGAAGGAAGGAAGAAAGGAAGGAAGGAAGGAAAAGGGAAGAAAGAAAAAAGAGAAAGAAGGAAAAAAAAGAAAGAAAGGAAACAGATGACGGTATCTTTGGAGGCAGGATCTTGCTGATAACATGATGGTATCCAGAGATGCGTAAATTACGGAGGATTGTCTGAATGCTTGCTGTGATCTGGCCATAAGCACCCTCCCTTCTCCCAACTCCATCTGCCTTATAAACTCCTACTCATGCTTCAAAGCCCAGCACCAATGTCCCCTCTTCCAGGAACCCCCTTCTCCCTACCTTGCTTTCCCCAGTCCAGTCTCCCTGTGACCTGTGGCCCTCTCTGCACCTTGGTCCTGCCCCGAGGGAGGTAGAGTCTCCTCTGTCAGACTCTGTATGCTTGAGGTCCAGGCCCAGGGCTGAGGGTTTTGAGGTCCCGGTATCACTTGGTGTGCAGTGGGCAGCTGTGAAGGTGAAAGAGAAGGGACTTGGCCGGGCACGGTGGCTCACGCCTGTAATCCCAGCACTTTGGGAGTCCGAAGCAGGTGGATCACCCAAGGTGAAGAGTTCGAGACCAGCCCAACCAACACGGTGAAACCCCATCTCTACTAAAAACATAAAACAGTTAGCCAGGCGTGATGGGATGCACCTGTAACCTCAGCTATTCAGGGGGCTGACGCAGAAGAATGGCTTGAACCCAGGAGGCATGGGTTGCAGTGAGCTGAGATCGCACCACCGCACTCCAGCCTGGGCGACAGAGCAAGACTCTGTCTCAAACAAACAGACAGATAAAACAAAACGAAAGGGACAACCTCTTGCCTGCTCCCTGCCCCCAGCCTTTCCCAGCTTTTTTCTCCCCACATCAGGCTCTTCCATCGGTACCAGGACCTGGCCCCGCAACTCGTGCCCCTCGACTATACCACCTGTCCCGATGTGAAGGTGCCCTACGAGCTCATTGGCAGCATGCCCGAGCTGAAGGTACGCCCGGGCCATGGGTCAGGCAGGGGAAAAATTAGTACAGATGTCTCTCATTGCATTCTTATGAGGTGGGTGCTGCAGTTTTCTTCATTTTACAGATAAGAAAACTGAGACTCTGAGAGGTTAAGACACTTGTTCATGGTCACACAGCTACAATGTGACAGAGGCAACGTTAAAACCCAGAGCTGGCCAGCGTGGTGGCTCACACCTGTAATCCCACCACTTTGGGAGGCCAAGGCAGGTGGATCACCTGAAGTCAGGAGTTCGAGACCAGCCTGGCCAACATGGTGAAACCCCATCTCTACTAAAAATACAAAAATTAGCTGGCTATGATGGCTCATGCCTGTAATCCCAGCACTTTGGGAGGCCGAGGTGGGCGGATCATGAGGTCAAGAGATGGAGACCATCCTGGCCAACATGGTGAAACCCCATCTCTACTAAAAATACAAAAGTTAGCTGGGCGTGGTGGCGTGCGCCTGTAGTCCCAACTACTTGGGAGGCTGAGGCAGGAGAGTTGCTTGAACCTGGGAGGCAGAGGTTGCAGTGAGCTGAGATCGCGCCACTGCACTCCAGCCTGGTGACAGAGTGAGAGTCCATCTCAAAACAAACAACAAACAAACAAACAAAAAACAAACCTCAGTACAGGGTGTGTTGCATGTCAAGTACTCAGAGAATGTTAATTCTTTTCGTAACAGGAGCTGCTAAATGCAGGTTTTCTCAGTAGGATGTGTGACACATGATTTATGTCTTTGAGGGGAACTTGTAGGTTAAGTAACTGACTATGAGTAGGATTGATTTTATTGCAAGTGACAAAAACCTTATTTGAGAGGGACAGAATGGATTGGATCAGAATGGATTGCCCCTGAGCAACAACAAAAAAATCCAGGGACAGGGGCAGTGTCAGGTATGTCTGGAACCAGGGGCTCTGATGATGTGCTCAGGAATGTTCCCCTATCTCTCGGCTCCTCCGAGGAAGAGGTTTCAGTCTCAGGGAGCCTCTCCTCTTGAGGCTGTGAAAAGACCTCTCAGCCACTCAGCTTTAGCTTCTGTGAGCTCTGCAAGCAACAGAAACCAGATCCTCTCCCTCCCAATTTTTCAGAAAAATGTCCCAGGGCAGCCTCTGATTGGCTAATTTGAGTTACATGCCCATCCCAGAGTCAATCACCATTGCCAGGTGAATGGAACTCTCTGATTGGCCTTGCCTGGGTCATATGGCTGCTCCAAGAGCTGGAAGTGGGAGTCAAGTTTGCTCAGACCACAGGGGCAGAGGGTGGAGCTGTCCAAAGTCCTGTCCGGGAACCATGGGAGGGAGCGAGTCTTGATGGAGGGTACTTGGAGGTTCCCATAAAGCGGGTGCTGACAGTGAGACTACATGGACCCCTAGAGACCCTGGGGGTCAGAAGATGGCCTCCCAGCTTCCTTTCTCTCCCCAGGATAACCCCTTCCGCCAGAGGATCGCCCAGGTCTTCTCCAACAATGGGGATGGCCACATGACCTTAGATAACTTTTTGGACATGTTTTCTGTGATGAGCGAAATGGCTCCCCGTGACCTCAAAGCCTACTATGCTTTTAAAATTTATGGTAGGTGCACAGCCCTGGGGTTGGGGATCATGGGCATGGGGTGAGCAGTGGGAACCAGTTGGGGTCACCTCCATCTCATACATCTCCCCAAGTGCTTTGAGACCCTGTGTGGCCTGGTCCTCCACCCCACTCCAATGCCTTCCACCTCATTTTTTTGCTAACTCTATTCCAGCCACACCGGCTTTGCTGTTCCTCAAACATACCACACTCTTTTGGCTTCTGGGCCTTTGCCTCTGCTAAACTCTCTGCCTAGAACACCTTTCCCCTGGTTCCTTCTTTATTTATTTATATTATTTATTTTTTTGAGATGGAGTTTCGCTCTTGCTGCCCAGGCTGGATTGCAGTGGCTCA